TTATTTTTTTTTTTTTAAATTTATTTTCCAGACAAAAAAGAGACTTGAAATATATCCACAGAGACAGCTCATATTCATGCAAAAAAAGCAACAGAGAGACGAACAGACAGAACGGAGGAGGAGGAGCTTCGAGGGGGGGGCTGATATGTCCTGCTGGCCGTTTGTTCTTTTTTTTTTGTTTTTCTGCATAAAATTTCCTCTCCGCTTTTTTTTTTTTTTTTGGCAGGGAAAGGGAAATGACACGTGACAGGTAGTAGGCCGTGACGCTTAAATGATCGCATACAGAATACTGAAGTACCACCAGATGACCCTCTCGTCTCAAATTCACTTTGTTTGACTCACAAAGAGGCCCTTTCCACTCATACAATACCTGTGCACACAGAACATACCCCACGTTCACGTGATAATGTGAAAAAAAACAAACAAACTTAAAAATAATAAAAAATCAATCTCAACATCACTCAAACCTCAGAAAAATTAGCCCGGAATCCTTTGTGACATCTTCCTGATGTCACAAGTGTAACAGCTGTGAGGTCAGAATACTTTATTGCTGTATGACAAGGTGAATCTCTTACAAACACGCTGACTGTATTTCCGAGGCTGCCCAACGGGGGGCCGGTCCATCGTCATTGGTGCTAGACCCAACATGGGTCAGCTGCTGTGAGACCTCCACCTCCAACACTGGCATAGAATGGGCTTAACACGGCAGGGATGGGGGCAGACTTTGGTCTATCGATATCCATCGTCATTGGCGCTAGACACAACATGGGTCAGCTGCTGTGAGACCTCCACCTCCAACACTGGCATAGAATGGGCTTAACACGGCAGGGATGGGGGCAGACTTTGGTCTATCGATATCCATCGTCATTGGCGCTAGACACAACATGGGTCAGCTGCTGTGAGACCTCCACCTCCAACACTGGCATAGAATGGGCTTAACACGGCAGGGATGGGGGCAGACTTTGGTCTATCGATATCCATCGTCATTGGCGCTAGACACAACATGGGTCAGCTGCTGTGAGACCTCCCCTACCCCAACACTGGCATAAAATGGGTCTAACACGGCAAGGATGGGGCAGACTTTGGTCTATCGATAGCCATCGTCATTGGCGCTAGACACAACACGGGTCAGCTGCTGTGAGACCTCCCCTAACCCAACACTGGCATAAAATGGGTCTAACATGGTAGGAATGGGGGCAGACTTTGGTCTATGGACATTAATTTTGGCTAAACGTAAAAAAGGGTTAAAAAAAATAATAAATAGTGGCGGAGAGTGTGAGAAGACATAAGGACAGTATGCCAACATACATACAGGTCAACCTAAAAATTCGTCGTGAAGCTTTGCACTTTAAGGGTTCTTCCCCTCCCCACCAAATAAAAGTTTTAATATATGTCAATTTTTTGTTTTTTTGGAAAGATGGATGCACCTCCATTGTATTCTCCATTGCACCCCAATGGATGCACCTCCGTTGTATCCTCCATTGCACCTCAGTAGATGCACCTCCATTGTATCCTCCATTGTGCCCAATGGATGCACCTCCATTGTATCCTTTATTTTGCCCCAATGGATGTACCTCCACTGTATCCCCCATTGCACCCCAATGGATGCACCTCCATTGTATTCTCCATTGCACCCCAATAGATGCACCTCCATTGTATTCTCCATTGCACCCCAATGGATGCACCTCCGTTGTATCCCCCATTGCACCTCAGTAGATGCACCTCCATTGTATCCCCCATTGTGCCTAATGGATGCACCTCCATTGTATCCTCTATTTCGCCCCAATGGATGTACCTCCACTGTATCCCCCATTGCACCCCAATGGATGTACCTCCATTGTATCCTCCATTGCACCTCCATTGTATCCTACATTATACCCCAATGGATGCACCTCCATTGTATCCTCCATTGCACCTCCATTGTATCCTCCTTTACACCTCAATGGAAGCACCCCCATCATATTCGCAGAACCAAATCTATTGATACATCACCTGTGCTATTTCTTGACCCGTGTGCCCTCTGAACTGTGTCTTCAATTTATCTTCTGAAAAAAAAAATCCCTTTCATGAGCACAACGAAAACTTCCTGCATCTTAAATGAACCCATTTGGGATTTTTTGTTGTTGCATGATTACGTAGGAAGAGCTTCAGATGCTGGTCATACTGTATATACGACAAGTAGACTATATTGGATACAAAGGGTGGGATAAGCTGAGGTGTCTACGGAGTGGTAGATATGGATAATATTCTAGGGTCAGAGGTTATATAATTGGGCATAACATTGGAAGTTGGAAGAGCAGCAATGAATATAACACTGCACAGTTAGGAGGTACATAGAACCAACAGGGACTGCCAATATCAAGTGACAATATTAGAAGACATCAAAAAGAAACGTTTCATGAGTTGCCGGATGACATGACACTGGTAACAAAAACTTTGGCAAAGAAAAAGTCCAAAAATACCAACAAAAGAGGGGGAAGAGCGAGCAGCAGATTTTTTTTTTTTTTTCCTCAAAGCAAGGAATATGGCGACACAATGTTTTCCCTCCCTATTGCTAATTGTCACCGAAAACAAGACGCCCCTTAAGACCCAGAGTGCCAACGTACCGTTGTCAGCACCCGGTCCCTCTTCGCTAGCGATTGGGATCTACAGGTCGGTAGCTTCCCAAGACAGACACACAGCCGACGTACATGCACTCCTCCCCACCCTTCCTCCCCCCAGCACGCTCACATCACCACCAATAAAAACGGAAGAGATTCGGGCGGACGCACACAGACAAGACTTTGGCAAGTAACAGAAACACACTCAGCCACCAGTCAAGAAAAAGGACTAAAGAAAGCACCAGGTGGGAACCCTCTGCCAGCGCA